TCCTGTAGGAGCAGCACTGGGGAACCAGGGCCTTGAAAACCCGATGGGGGCAGTTCTGCTCTGTCCTGTGGGGTCGCTAGGAGCTGGAACGCGCTTGACAGCACCTAACAACATACGTAAATATATGGCTATGTGTGTGTGTATAATCCTCCACACACATTTCCTGTATGTATATAAATCCTGTATGTATCCACTCGACAGCACCTAATAACATACGTAAATATATGACTGTGTATGTATGTGTACATTTCCTGTATGTATATAAATCCTATGTATCCAAGTCCTACACAGAGATATAAACCATATATATATATAAATGTTCTGTCTATATAAATGCTATAATTGTACACTTGACAGCACCTAACAACATATGTAAATATATGGCTATGTATGTATGTGTATAATCCTATACACACACACACACACACATTTCCTATATGTATATAAATCCTATATGTATCCAAGCCCTATATAGAGATATAAACCATATATATATATGTAAATGTTCTGTCTATATAAATGCTATAAGTATACAAGTCCTACATATATGTATAAATCCTATAACCACAAACAAAAAACAAACCCATTGCTGTCAAGTCGGATCTGACTCATAGCCTTGGGTTTCTAAGGCGGTATCTCTACAGAAGTAGATTGCCCAACCTTCTTTCCAAGGACTGGCTGGTGGGATGAATCTGGTATATATGTATAAATCCTATATATGTAATCTTACACATATGTATAACCAAACTCACTGCTGTGGAGTCATCTCCGACTCATAGCGACCCCTCCTTGGGTTTCTGAGGCAGTATCTCTATGGAAGTAGATTGCCCAACCTTCTGAGGAGTGGCTGGTGTGTTTGACGCACCAGCCTTCTGGTTGGCAGTCAAATGCCTTAGCCACTACACCACCAGAGCTCCCATATGTATGTATAAAACCTATATACGTATCTACGTGATCATAGTGTCCTTTTTAAGGACTGGAATCACATTCCTTATAACTTGTTCTTCAGCCACTGTGACGGCACCTCATTGTGGGATGTGCAAAAGGACAGTTGTCACGTCCATATCTCTGCTTTGCCCTGTTACACTTCATGCTGTGACTTAACTACGTCCTCTGTCGGACTAGAGCCTGCTGGACGGCAGCGGGGATGGGGCTCGTGGACCAGGCTGCCCTCTCCAGCTCCTCTCCAGGCATCATGTCAGTCTAGAAACACATCGGTCATGAAGGACTAGTGTGGCTTTCAGCAGCATGGTGGCCACTCCATCAGTGGCCACCAAGGCTGGAGAAGGTCGGCTGAGTTTACAGTAGAGAGATGACCTTCCCAGCTGGGACAGGGCTATTTAAAGAAGCATGTCTGAGGGTGCAGAGCCAACCTCCCTGCAGAGAGGCCCAGATTCTCCTTCATGGGGATCCGTTCCCTCTGGCAAAGCAAAGCGTGCAGTTGCTGCTGGCTGGGTACTGAAATCTGTCAATGATGAAAGAGCATAACCATCATCAACGTATCAGCAGAGGCAGTCACTCTCTGGACCTTTATAAAATACTGTCGGGTACGTGACACCAGTGAGTTCTAGGCAGGTGCAACGTGATGGCCTACCATGCTCACACCACTGGCCCCAGCTGCCGCTGACACGACATGGAGTTACCACTGCAGAGTTCCTCAGGCTGGAGCCCATGAGGGGTAGGGCCGGGGCCCGGTGGTGGGTAACCTACCTCCACAGCAAATGATGGCAGCCACAAAGAGGGAGATGTCACTGTCATCCAGCTCCAGGGCATTGAACTTCATCGCAAAATCGAACTTGGGCTCCATGATGTCACAGAACGGTTTCCGCAGGCTCTTCAGGAACTCTCGAGTTATAAAACCATTCCCATACGCAACCAGCATCCCATCCTTGTTCATCACAGAAGACAGCATCGCAAATATGGCCTCATAGACGCCGTATTTTAACAGAGTCACCTGGTCATTCAAGTCTAGGTTGGCGAAGCCGGGGATGGACTTGGCGAACTCCGTGAGCTCCGTGACGGTCTCCACCGATGTGCACTGACAGCAGTGGAAGATGCGGACTTCTGCCTCCTTGTTCTGGATCCCGTTGGCCACCAGCTTGGCCACCAGCGTCTTCTCAGCCATGCACAGCGTCTCCATATCGTGGATGACAAAAGGCTGCAAGGACAGACACGAGTAAGTCAGAGGATCTGTGACCTGCGACACCGTTAACCAACCAACAAGTGAGCATGACTGCCTCAGATCACCAGGCTTGGTGGCATGGAGAACGGAGAGCGTGCGAAACCCAGTCCTCTGCAGTCAGCTGGGGACAATCAGACACTCGTGGAAAACGAACAGTGTCAGTCGGTGTGATAAAGACCACCACTGCCTGACACGGTAGGGATTTCCATGCTGAGAAACCCCATAGTGATTCTGGCAGTGAAGCTAACTGGAGAATATTAACAAAGCATCTTTAACATCGTATGTAGTCTCTGAATTCCCAAACACCACTGTGGTAACCTTAATAACAATCATTCTTAATTTTACCATTTTACAAACTTCAGTGGTACGCACTGTCATTTCACACAGACTGCTCGACGGACAGGTCTGGCGTATGTGAAGCAACTCCTGAAGCTGGCGTGTACGCGCAAAGAAGCAGACAAGCATTGTGCACCTCCTGGGGCTTTTTGGACAGACTGGCAAAGTCCCCTGCTTCTCTGTGCCCCAGTGCACAACCTCCACATCAGGGTCCCATGTCTTGGGACAGGTGCTAAGTGCCTTGAGGCAGCTCCCTATGTGTTGCTGGACTTTCTGCACCTGAACCGTCTGGTCCCACCATCTTGGCAAGATGTAGTCATGGGAAGAAGAGATGGCTGGCCGTGCTGTTTGGAGCCAGCATGCCCAGAAGGGAGAGTTGTATGTCTAGTGGAGCACGGACAGGCTGCTGGTCAAAACCTGCGTCTCTATGTGGAGCAGAGAAACGCCATCGCCTCAGGTATCATCACTGTGAGTCACAAGCTGCTCTCGCTGTCGGGTGCCATGGGGTCAAATGTTGACTCCCAGCGACCCCACGTGACAGAGTAAACCACCCCAGAGGGTTTTCTAGGCTGGAATCTTTACAGGAGCTGACTGCCAGCTCTTCCCCCCAAGAAGCCACTGGTTGGTTCAAACCACCAACCTTCTGGTGGTTCTCTATCCACCAAAAATCCTGAAACAAACCCATTGCCATTAAGTCACTTTAAACCCACAGTGCCCCTACAGGACAGAGAACTGCCCTACAGGGTTTGTAAGGCTGTAAATGTTTATGGAAGCAGACTGCCCATCTTCCTCTCATGGAGTGGCTGATGGGTTTGAACTGCCAACCTCCTGGGTGGCAGCCAAATGCTTAACTGCTGTGCCACCAGGGCTCCCATGTCTGTTCTGTAGGACATGCAGATACAGACCAACGAGACAATGGGCCAAGGAATGTCTCCAGTCCCCACTGGAGCCCCTGAGCATAGAGCGATGAGTGCGTAGTGATCTGAGAATCGCTCCTCCACTGCCCACGTGCCGAGACCTGGGACATGAAACACCCTCTATTTTGGGCTCAGAGGAGAAGCCAGAGAAGCCACAGCATACAACCATTTCAGGGCACCTTTGGAAGGTCCCTGTGCAGAAGCCAGGGAGAGTGCTGGTAACACCAGTACTGGCAACAGGCCTTCGGACTGTCTTGAAGCCTTCAAGCAGAATCACAACTTGTAATCCAGTGTTAGACAAAATGCCTTTTATTCCACATCTGAGGAAAGGGATATTTAATAAAATCATATGAATGAGTGAAAACATACCGAATACAACACTCCAAGCCACAGTTTCTAAATACCTCAAGTCTTTTTACAGAAGACTAAAATTGTCCCGCCCTCAAGACCCTAACACGGGGCCAGAGGACCAGGTCTAAGGGCAGCTCTGCCTGAGGTAGAAGAAGGCATACAGGAAACAGAACGTAGCCCAAGGGACAAGCAGCTCCTAGCAGGCTGGATGCTCCTACACGTGACCCCCATAAGCTCGGGGCACAAGACAGAATCCGACAACTGAAGGCGCTGAGAGTGAACACTGGCAGAGGCTGGCGGGGTCATTGGAGGCAGGGGTGCAGTGGGGCTCAGTGTCCCGTCCTCACAGGTGTTGGCCCGAGGCAGGGAGACCCATAGACCTGCAGGCCCAAAGGGCCAAACAACACACCCAGCACTCAAAGCCACTGAGATGCGTGGGGCAGGGTAGCTAGGAAGCCTGAGTCAGAGAAGGGAGCCCCCACCTCTGGGTGTAAGCTCTGCCCAAAGTCCCCTCCTGAATCAAGCAAGCATGGGGCAGATTGAAAGCCGTGCAGCTGGGGCCGAAGTGAGCTGAACTTTGAGCTTCCACCCCTTACAGGGGAGGCAGAGCTTATAGTTTCAGTCGACCCAGGTGCACGCTGGCTAAAACAGAGCAAACACAAACAGCACTCTCCAGAGGAAGGTAACAGAACCCAGAGTCTCCACGACGTAACGTGCAGCGTCCAGGATACAGTCCCAAAGCACTCCACACACGGAGACCCAGACGGACGCGGTCCCTCTCTCGAGAGAAAGCAGTCAACAGAGACCAACACCGACATGACTGGGTGCTGGAAGGGTGGCTGAGCGTCCCACGCAGGACAGAGAGAATGACTGCGAGCCCGGCTGGTCCACTGCTGAAAACCACAGACAGGAAACCGGAGAGCAGACCGAGAGAACCGGAAGACAGTGGCATAACGTCTTTAAGGGGGAAAGATGGCCAACCCAGAATTCTATATCCAGTGAACATCCTTCAAGAAAAAGAATATTTTCAGACAAAGGAAAAGTACGAGCATTTGTGGCCAGCAGACCTGAAAAAAAAGTTGCTACATGACAGAAGTTCAAAATTCTCAGGAAGGAATAAAGTGCATTACAACTGTAAACATTCTTCCCGGTACCTGAAAACCAGCGAGCAATGTCTCGACACCTACTGCTACCCCCTGAATGTTGTTGTTGTTTGCCATCGAGTCGGACCCGACATATCAACCCCAAACAAGTGCAGCCTTGTAAGGCTCGGACGATGTCTGCCCCTGTCTGCCCCCCGCCTCATACGACCCTAAGCAAGAAGCAGAGCTGACCTCACCGTCTTACAGTCAGGCTCTTGCTGCCGTGTGCTGTCAAGCCGGTTCCGACTCAGGGCGGCACTGTGTGGCGTTGGAGCACCGCCTCGTAGACCGTCCTCGGCTGAGAACTCTACAGGAGCGCATCATCAGGGTTTCTGCCATGGAGCGGCTCGTGGTGTTGAACCACCAACCTTGCGCTTAGTAGGCAAGCACTCCACCATTGTGCCACCAGGGCTCCTTAACGTCAGGCCCACTCACCGCCATCCAGTCAATTCTGACTCACAGTGACCACCACTGGGTTTCTAAGGCTGTAAATCTTCATGGAAGTGGACTGCCTCATCTTTCTTCTATAGGGCGGGCAGCTGGTGGGTTTGAACCACCGACTTTCTGGTTAGCAGCCAAATGCGTTAACCACTGTACTACCAGAGCACCTTTAAAATCAGGCTAGGTATCCCTAACTTAAAAAAAAAAAAAAAAAACAGTTAAAGTTTCTTACTCACTAGCTCTAACGCTTCATTTAAAAATAGTTTAAAAAAAAAACCACTATAGGAAACTATTGCCAACTGACCACAGACCAAAGTCATTCTGAGCCTGTAAGCCCAGAAGATGACTGTTAATGGTGAGTCCAACTCATTAAGATTTTGTATTTTTGGGAATGAACTCCTGATGGGGACTTCCAAGCCAGACCCAATCTTAAACTCAACAGTAATAAAACCAGTAATTCTAAAGTTTCTTTAAATAGGGGCGTTCCCATCATCCTAAGTCCCATCCAAGGCTGTCAGTCTTCACGGAAGCAAAGGCCAAACCACACCCATTGCCGTGGAGTCTATTCTGACCCATAGCGCCCCTAGAGAACAGAGTGGAACTGCCCACAGGGTCTCCAAGGCTGTTATCTTTATGGAAGCGGACTGCTTCCTCTTTTTCCTGCAGAATAGCTGGTGGATTCAAACTGCTGACATTTTGGTTAGCAGCTGAATGCTTTACCCACTGTGCCACCAGAGCATTAAAAATGTTAGTTATTACTGACATCATTACTATAATTTCCAGAACCAGTTTCTCTTTCAGCTGTCTCCGGCAGGAGGCCTTGGTCATTTCCCAGTTTCCAAGGGTCCCTGTGCCAGTGGCTGTTTGTAAACTCAACCACCAATTCTGTAACGTTCTGGAGCAAGTCCCGGAAAAGAGGCGAAAATGTTCCCTGCTGATCACGAAGCTTCCTGTTAACCCTCCATCTTCTTAAATAGGAAAGAGGAGGAAGATTATTCTAAGTTTCAGGAATTTAATTGACTCAGCTCAAAAATCAGGATTCGTAGAGACGTAATTCTTAGGAAGGCCACCCCGCAGTGTTCTGGGCATGAGGGAGAAAACCCATTGCCACTGAGTCGATTACAACTCAGAGCGACCCCCAGTGGGTTTCCAAGGCTGTCACTCTTTACAGATGATTGCCTCATCTTGCTACTGCAGAGCGGCTGGTGGGTTTGCACTGCTGATCTTCTGGTCAGCAGCCCAATCAATGTCTTACCCACTATGCCACCAGAGCTCCTTAATCTAGGGAGAGAAGGATGTAATTTTATTATTCTGCCAACTTGATTTTAAGTATATCTCTTCAGAGCAAGTTGACGCTCAGCCTTAAAGAAGGGACATTCATGGGATGGACTAGAGAAGTATCATAAGGGGTAGGTGACAGTGTTCCCTCCACTCCAGAAAATGCACCGTGGCCCACGTTACCTTTACACAGACCACTGACCTTTCTGAGTACCTGCAGCAGAATAACAATGCTAAACCAAGGAGTCTAGCGTTAATGAAGGAATCTGCGAAACACTGAGTTGAACACAGTTCCTCAGACGTCGCTTCCATTGCCCCAGAGCCTCAGGCTACGAATCCTCAAGAATGAGGCCCAGGGGGGCAGCCATTCCAAGTGGGTTCCTTATAGGATACTGCCAGCTTTCCCAGGGCACCTCCTAGGACTGGACTTGTCAGTGCTGGCTACGTCACGTGCAGCATCCCAGGGCAAAATTATTAACAGCTTCAAGATGGCACCACCAGAGCATTAAAGTCAAGTGTGGGGCCCTTCCAGGGTGATGGCAGACTGTCCAGCCGTGATGCTGTCCTGGGACCAGCAGTGCGTGAAATACACTCTTGTCAGGGGGACTAAATGCTAACAAATGCTGCGTCTCATTTTAATAAAATTGTCACTTTGGGTTTCTTAAAAGTAAGCCTTATTTAATAAACAAAATTAGGTGCAAACCTTTAGGATTTAAGACAAATACTGAGCACGAGAAAACTGGTGTTTATTAAAGCAAACTGAAATTTCGTGGTGACCTCACGCGACACAGGAGAGCTGCCCCTCAGGGTCCCCTAGGCTGTGATCGTTTGGGGAGCAGACTGCCAGGCCCTACTCCCACCGAGCCACTGGGTCAGCTCGAACCCACTGTGCCACCACGGCTCCGTCACGGGAGTGCTGTGCGTTAAAAGGGACTCCATGCCACTTAACAACCGCCAACAGCAATTTCACGGAGCCACTGGGCGAGACTGACGTGCCGACCTTCCGGTTAGCGGTTGAGCGTTCAGTCACTGTGCCGTCAGGGCTGTGAGCTGAAATTGACGTGATGCCACCTGACAACAGCAAAGAGAAATTTTGTAGCAAAACACATTTGAAAATTTGCCCAACTTTATGCATCGATATTCTTGATAAGATTATTTAAAAAACTCCACACAGCTCATATTGAATTTAGGAATTTGCCTTTTATACTCAGGTTTGAATATGGATATTCCTGACATCACATTTGGAATAAATCAAGCACATGGGGAAGGTCTGAAATGGCCTGAGGCTGGCCTCCGTGTACCCTGAACTCTTTCCAGGCCAAGACCAGAGCGTCCCCGGTGTGACTGACGTGTGGCTGCCTCTGCTCACAGCTGACCGTGTGCTGTGTGGTTTAGTATTACCTACAAGAATTCACCTCCAGAACACACTTAGCCGGCCGCTCCTCTGAAAAGGGAGGCAGCGGTCTTTCAGGAAAACGTAACTGGCTTACTGGTAGGGTCACGTTGAAGGACGTGGTTTAATAAGCTCTTGGGTGTGTTGAGGACATACTGCTAGGAACTGATGAAATATTAAGGATGGTTTTCAATCTGAAGACAAGAAGGAGGTGTGATATGTGGTCGTAAGGCAAGGGGCAGAATCCCAGGACCCGCCGGGCAGGTGGCGATTGTCTAAAGCAGCAATCTGTCCTCTCCCACGGCGTGGGGAGGCTGCCCGGATTCCAAAGAGCCTGAACTGTTGCCCAAAACGTTGGAATCCCTCTTTCAAAACTGGTTTTGAACTTGTTCTCAGCCAAATGTAAAAAATTGGTGTCCCCAACGCACTGTTTCTTATTCAAACCCAGAAGCTTTACTCTAATTCCAACGTGTGCTCAGCTGGCTGCCAGTGACTCGGGGCTCTGTCTAAAATCCAATGATTATTAGACGGTAGAGATATTCTACAATTTCAAAAAGTAAAAGAAGAAGATTTCCCACCACTGAGAATATTCAAAGGCTCGAATTCCCAGGAATCTGGGCCAACGAGCGTCCCTGAAAGAGACGAGGATGCTTCCGGTTATGACGCCGCTCTTTCGATGGGAAATTCTGACGCATTTGCTTGATGACAGAGTAACAGCCGCAGAACATGCCCGGAAGTCTTTTTCCAACCAAGTGGGTTAGCTCACCAAGGAAGGGGTGTCTGCCGGGAGCATCCTGCTCTAAGACTTTCTATACGGTGTCAAACTGACAATCGGAACCGGAAAAGTTAGATTGTGTTGATGGGGGCGGAGCCGTGCAGCAAAGGTGCAGGCAGCGTCACAGAGCGAAAGCAGCTAAACCCGAGGGAGGGAGAGCGTGTGCGTCTGCGCGCGTGTCTGCACGCATGTGTGTCTGCACATGTGCCGGCGTGTGAGCTTGTGAGTGTGTGTGAGTGTATTAGGAGTGTGTGAGTACATTTGTGTGTGACTGTGTATGTATCAGTGTGTGTGTGTGAGCGTATTAGTAGTGTGAGTACATTTGTGTGTGTATATTTGTGTGACTAAGTGTACGTATGAGTGTGTGTGAGTGTGTGTGATTTTGTATGCGTGTATATGAGTGTCTGTGTGTGACAGTGTGAGATTTTTGTGTGTGACTGTGTAAGAGTGTATGTATGACCGTGTGTGACTGTGTGCGTGTGTGAGAGAACGTGTGTGGAGCCCGTGGTGGCAGGGGCACCAAGGTCACAAGAAAGGCAGGAGGTGCCCCAGACACCTCCAAGCCTGGTTTTCATGTCGCTCCCTCAGGTCTTTTCACGATGTCCTTAACCCGACAGGCCGACACACCATCTTTCTAAGATGCTGTTGAAAAAGCATCTCTTCCGGAATCCACACGCAGAGGCACCCACTGTCCCCGTCTCCCCTCAGCTCTGCTTCTGTCCTTGGACCCCGACATCAGCAGGGCAGCGAGCTCCCCTAGAAGACTGCGACCTGCCCACTGAGGGCCCTGGGCACTGTGTGGCCCCCAGCTCACACCCGTCCTGGTAGCCAGACGGAGGCACACGCTCCCTGCCTGCCGCCATCCCCCCTTCCTCCTCCTCCCGACCCCGCTCCCTGCCCTCCCAGCCCAGCCATGCTTCTGCTCCTGGGTGACCCAGCCCCCAACTCTGGGCAGCCAAGGGGCTCTGCCTCAGCTCACCAAAAGGCCATGGGGGGAGAGGGGCTTACATGAAGGAACGTCTACTGCAAAGGGAACCCCGTTTTGCACTTGTAGCAATCCCCAGGACCACTGGGAAGTGAAAAGCTGCCCCCACCGAGATGTCAGACATTTTGGGGCCCAGCTGTGGGCTGAGCTTCCGAAGCGTGAGTGTGGCCTCGCCTCAGTGTCCCTGCTGGGAAGGCATTTCTCCTGAGGCCTGGGCAGAGCGCTTAACCCAGGTGGGTGGGTGACTGTCCACGGTGCTCCCCGACTGCAGGCCACAGCTGGCTGCCGGTCTGAACCCTCCTCACCCCTCCTCTTCCCGCCGCAGTGGGGCTGCTGCGTGCGGAGGCCAGTGTGGCTTCGTAAAGCTGTGTCCTCTGGACAAAGCCTCCTCATGCCCACACTCGGCAATGCGTGAGAAAGTGGCCTCCACTTTCCCAATAATTACGTGTTGTCCCGTGTTGGAACTTTCACAAAACTACTGTTGAATACTGGGCTCATTTAATTCAGATCAAGTCCAATGTCAGAACCAAGGCCAGGTGCCTCAGCCATCCCCCCGCACCCTGGTTTGCCTTCTAAGTCATGTGAGATACAGCATATGGTCCTGTGATGTCCACCGTGCTCCCAGAGCCAGAGTGCGCACAGAAATGCACTGTGGGGAGTCTGGTGGGGGACGTCCCACTCCCAGGGTCCCTTCTAGACTGAGCTACACCGAGAAGACGAGACGATGGTCCCACAGCGGAAGTGGCAAGCAGCCAGCCAGCAGGCAGGGAGATGGGGGGCAGGCCTCCTGTGTGGACCAAGATCCCAGCACCGGAGGAACAAGGTTGGCCCTGGGCGCAGTGGACTCTCATGCAATGAACCTCCCCCCCAAGAGGGGGCGCTGTGAACCTGGTGCTGGCTGCCCGGGTGTGGAGGCCCGGGGGCAAGGGCAGGCACTCGACTCCCAGCAGTACAACAGGTTCTGTTTTTCTTAGTGAACCCCAACCCTAAACATGACTTCATCATTTACTCCCTCAGGATGGAAGTGCACACAGTATGAGGGTAACTGGTGTCCCAGTCCCTCCGCCCTGGACTTCCCTGCTCTGCCTGTGGCCACAGGGCCCCTCCAGACACCATCCCTGGGTGGAGGACGCCAAGGGCAGTTTGTGGAAACCAAAGTCACACTGACCAGGAATGTTTTGTAAAGATGTTTCAGTCTGCTTTAAGTTCTTAAGATCCAAGAGAGAAACAGAAGACCTCACACAGGAATAGATGACCTCACATAATTTTCGCTTCTGCCAATCGTTTTTAGGATAGCTATTCAAAGTTAAGAGGTCACCTCTGCCTTCACCCCAGTGATGAAGAAAGGGTCTGATTGGTACACACCTCGGGCTGCCACCATGGGTCACCATGGGAAATGGGCTTTACCAATCTAACAGAGGTTTCTCAAACCCTTCTAAAATGTCTTGGTGGATTTAACTGGGGAATACACTAAAAGATTAAAGCCTCAGTAGAAAGAGATTTGGTCTGCTCATGATAGTAAGTAGCTTGTGCAATAATTTATTTTCCTGGGACTAAAAACTCTGGCCTGTAATTCCCAATAGGGACTGCTATTCATGAGTACAAATTAAACTTGTCAGGTCATGTTCATAGGAAAAAAGGCAAAATATCTTGATTCACTGACCTCAGGCTGTCCCTCCTTTGAAGGGAGCTCAGAGGTTGGTTCCATTTTGAAGACACACTTGTTAATGACGAGGGTGGGGGTGGCGGGTGGGGGAGTGCAGGAGGGTCTTCCAGGGGCCATCTTAGCTCCTACTGAAAATGTCCAGAAAGGCCAGCCCTGTGATGTCTTGGAGAAAGGCCGGTGCAGGGAGGCAGGGGTACAAGGGAGAAAGAGTAGTTTCAGGAGAAGACACTGAAGAACACATTTTGAGTGGGAAGTGAACCATTTCACTTTGGGGCCTTAAAATAGGAATTTTAAAAAATGCACTTGAGAAATGACCCTAGGACATGGTAAACGATTAACTACATTTTTTGGGCGGGTGTTAATTACACAATGGTGATAACTTGGTTGCTGGGAAGTGGACCCACCGAGAACACAGGCGTTACTACGCAGCTGCACCTCAGAGTCTGGGGAGGTCTTGCCACGCACATCTTTAGTGGCCTTTGGCACACACACTGTTTTCTCAACACTTCGTACCCACATCCTCAAGCACTCTCCATGACTGTCACTGTCATGGTGCTAAGGGAACACACAGGTCATTGGCTACAGTAAAACAGCAGCAAAAACACCTACTGGATTGTTGCTGGCTTTTCCCGCAAGGATGACTCTGGCCTTCACCTTGTTCATGTTAAAGTTCTTCAGGTAGGCCTCATAAATTCTCTTGGCAAGAGATTTGAGATCTGCAGTTTCAGAGTCTTCTAGACCATGGTCACATGTAAGAATTTCTGCTTTCAATTTGGCCTTTTCGGACCTTGGCATTCGTCCAAAACGAATTGCTGGGGGTGGAAGGGGGATGGAATAATGGAGACAAACAAATGAACACCACAGTGGCAAGGTGACAGACAGTGATTAATGGCTGAAAGACAAACTCAAACCATGAACTCAACAGACTAGGAACGAAAAGCTACCAAAACCACACCCACTGCTGTTGAGTCCATTCTGACCCACAGCGCCCCTAGAGGACAGAGTGGAACTGCACCACAGGGTCTCCAAGGCTGTCAATCTTCACAGAAGCAAAGCCCAAA